GGTGGTGCGGTGGCATCAGCTGGCATAGGCCAGACAATGCCCGCACTGCCCGCTCACCACAGCAATGGAATACACCTCATCAACACACAATAACACTATATTGGAGCAGGCGGAGGGAGACTAGGGGTCTTAGCACACCTCTGTTGTTGCTTGGCTTCCTGGGGCTGGAGGCTAGGAGGGAGATCTGGCCGTCTGGTTGGGGTCTGGGGTGGTGGGTTGCTGTGCTCAGTGTTGGGCGGGGGAGCCTGCTCATCAGCACCCCAGCAGAAAGGGTCAAACTCTGGTAACCGGTAATGGTTGTACCCCATGTGCAGCAGTACCGGGACCAGAGTGAATAGGGTGTGTATGGGGAGCATGAGTGGGTGTCCGGCATGCATTTTTGTAAGTCTTTGGTTGTATGTGTATGTGTGAGCATGAGGGAGGTAGTGTGCGGCTGTGTTTGTGTATGACTGTATATCAGGTGGGGCCTTTGACTCCTCCCTTCTCCTGGGACTTCTTTTGATGATATAGATCTTCGTCTCTCCTCCCCCTGCCACACCTGGTTTGGAGTGCGGTGCCTTGGTCTGCCTGAATGTTCATGGCTCCCTGGTCAGGGGGTTTAAGATTTTTGGCGTCTGCCTGATCAATCCCGGTGGCTGTCTGGTGGGGGTCTGGGTCCCTGGGCTCTGCTGGGTCCCCGGCGGGGGTGGTCGCCCCTGGGTCCCGGGTCGCTGGGTCCCGGGCTTGGCCGGCTAGGGGGTGGGAGGCTGCGGGCAGGCCTGTGGGCTTGCCGCTGATATCTCCTGGGACTCTGCTGGCTGCTGGTTGTGGCCCCCCGGGGCGATCCTCTGTGCCTCTCGAGGGGGGCGGGGGCCTTTCTGGTTGCAGTCTCCTTGAGGTTCCTGTGTTCTGGGGCAGCGCCTGGATCTCTGGGACTTGGAGCTCCCTCCGTTTCCTACACATCTTTGAGGGGCAGATCTGTTGTCCCTCACACTCTCTATTGGACGCTTTTGTAGAGAAACCTTACATAAACAAGCGCGTGTACACACACAGGTGCTCACATGGTGCTCTCAAAAGTATGGGCTTGGGCACATTCAACACATGTCTTAAGGCTGTCATTGCCACTAAATGCACTATGATTTATTATCATGTGATTGTTTAAACATTGCTGATTGTATATTTCTTCAAGTTGACACAGCAATAGCTTGCTCCTGTTGTATTGTTGTGTGTCCCATTTTTTTTTCTATTCTTTCTCTTTCTGCAGGTGTACGTAGAAGCAGACTCTTGTTCATTATTGTTTATTTTTGTGGAACCCCTTCCCCCCTCTCTCCCCACCTTTTGGCTTTTCCTTTCTCTTTCACCTCTGACTCTGTGTCTGGTCAGAATTACAAAGCATTCAAAAACAATAACAATAAAGTTTTAAGTATCAGGTGTGACATTAAAAGCAGACGCTTTGATGCTCCACCTGAAAGTAAAATCTGTAAGGCTTGTCACCAGCATTCAGGCATTAATTCTGTTTGCTTCACAGCCAGACAGGACATGGGGAAAAAAAAAAAATTGAAAATCCATGGAGTGGCACAGCTTTGCTGAAGCCGTCAATGCTGTGAGTTCTTCAGAATGATCTGTGGCGGATATAGAAAAAATGGGGGGGGGGGTTACTTGTTCTGTGTGTGCACGAAGCGATACAAGTGGTGATGCTGCTGGAATTCATGATTGTATCCTTCTCAGCACCAGCACTGCAGGTGATCTCCATGTCCAAAATGTGCGTAAGCCAGGTCCTTAGTCAACTTAAAGTTGCACAATTTTTTCCGCTACGTTTTTTTTTATAATCCCAAAGTTTGCGTGGAAAGTTGCTTACGAAGTTTTCTGACCCCATTTTGTGCGTAAGCAAGCTTTATAGATGAGGCCCCAGGTCAGGATCAAACCAGAAACCTAAGATCCACAGGTGAGCTACTTTTTAACACCTCATATCCAAGTTTTTAACCAGAGGTAACCGAATCCCAATATGTGGAGCATTGTATCTCATAACAAGAGCTGCTCAAGCTGTTCACTTCAAATCTCTGCTCAAGGCTTATCTGGTCTCAATGGTTTTCATTTCATTCTAAGCAGAACATCTTGATTGTGGTGTGCAGATTTATTTAATTTTATATATTTTCCCTTTGTGGTGTTTTATTGCATTTTGGTTCATTTGTATTGCTTCATAATATTTACTGGTTTCACATTTTACACTTTGTGTAGCACTTTGATTAGTGAAAGGTGATTTAAATTTGTTATGCAGTTAAAGTCGATTAAAATAAAAAGTTAAAAGTAAGATCCAATGTTTAAAATGACAAACCTTTATTGAGGGATTGAAGTTTTCTGAATATCAGTGCAAGTAGCCCGCAGTGGTAATCTTTTAAGAACCCATGGTAGACAATCATAATCATAATTTTTATATGAGACTGAAAACCCTGTAAATCATTTCAGAACTGTACAGAAACGTAATAATAAAATCATCTTTGAGGATCTCTGTTAAAGCTGGCAGAGTGTTTTTTTTTCTTAGATGGTTATGATAAAGAGGACAAATCCAGCAACTTTGTATAATAGTTATGGGGATGTTAAAATGGAAAATGTAAGGGTGATTGTAGGTTTTAATCTGTAAATAATTCAAATAATTGAAGAAACACTTATTCTGGGTGGTGACGTGTGTGTGTCTGACTCACTCTGTCAGTGTTTGAAGCAAGTTAATAACTTGATGCAATCAAACATCCTCCAGTTAAATAAAGACAAGACTGAAGTTATTGTCTTTGGAAATAAAGATAGGATGGAGGTTATTGCTCAACCGAGCGTCAGAGGAATAAAAGCAAAGACTAAGGTTAGAAATCTTGGTGTCATAAATGAAAAATGTAAAAACATTATTTATCAAGGACCATATTAAACATGTTGCTATGTTGTTTTATTTTGATATATATTTTATTTTGATTTTGATGTTTATAATTTTTTTTTTATTTACTGGCAAATATCTGGAAATATGCTTAAAGGTGCATTGTGTAGAAATGAAGTTTAAATGACATCCTGTGGTAAAATTTGGTTACTGCAACCACTTTAAACAACTCTGGAGCTTTTTGCCGGCTGTTGCCAAATTACAATTGTCGGGGGTGCAGTTTTAGCTCACAGGAGACACGGCAACCCCACACTCACTGATGGTAAATGGTAGTTGCATCTCTACTTCCTTTGTTTTGAACGGAGGAAAACGAACAATCCCCACAGCCAGCTGGATATAAAATATGTTTCAGTTTAACCTTACTTCCAAAATGACTGAAACATTAGACCAGGGGTGGGGAACCCTGGTCCATTAAGGGCCGCTATCCAGCATATTTTAGTTTCAACCCTGCATCATCACACCTGATTTCAATCAGCAGGTGATTAACAAGCTTCTGTAGAGCTTGAATGAGCTGCAGAACAGGTGAACCAACCACTGAGGCCTAGTCCACACGTAGCCGGGTTTTTTTGAAAACGAATATCCGCCCCTCCAAAAACTTGCATCCACACCACCTCATTTAAAAAAAAAACTCTGTCCACACGTACCCGGACAAATAAGTTGTTAAGAACATGCCAGACCTGTAGGCGGCAGTACTTCCCCCGTTCTTAACCTCGTCCTTCGTCTGTGGTCTTCCGCAAGGAGCAGTAATTCAGCTTGCAAAAACAAACAAGCAAAAAGCGCTTGGACAATTGATAAAGCGAGCGCAGCTCTGAGGGCATCCATGCTGTCGGCTAGTGTAAACACAGGTCGCACACGTGATGTCAGCATTCTTTTGTCGCGGAAAGTGATGTTGCGGACCTTAAAACTCTGGTTTTGTCTGTCCACACGCAGACACCCAAAATGGAGAAAATGCAGATCTTCACTCTGGCCAGAGTTTTTAAAAAGATCCGTTTTCGTGTGAAAAAACTCTGTTTTCGTGTGGATGACAGGCCAAAACGTAGAAAAATATCTACGTTTTGGCAGATCCCTGGCTACGTGTGGACAGGGCCTGAATCAGAAGTGTTGGAGCAAAGACATGCAGGATGCCGGCCCTCAAGGACCAGGGTTCCCCACTCCTGCATTAGACTCTTTTGTAATATTCTCACTATATTCTTACATATTGCACCTTTAATGTGTCATTTTAAAGTCAGCTTAAGGTTGGGAACAATAGCTTACCTGTTGTCTTGGTGCAGTCGTTGTTTAGTAAAACAAATTATTTCTAACCAGATTGACAATAGTTAATCTAAAGAGATTATCATCATTAAGACAAATGAAAACTAAAGAATGTTGGAGTGGTTTATGCTAAATAAGTTTAATAAATCTCCCCACTGTCAAATATTATTAAACAGATAATTCTAGTGTTTTCTTTTTTTACACCAATTTTTTTAAATATTTTTGCCAGAATAATACTGTAACTGACATCACAGCCAAATTTCAGCCTTCTTGTGAAATATGACTTATTTATTTTTTACATCGGAACTTTTTTTGTTTTTAACAATAACGTTTGTAACTGGTCCCATGAGAATTATTAGCTTTCCAATCTAGTCTGAAGTAATCTCTATTTCTCCAAACGAAGACTGTTCAAATAATTATCTACTATCTATTAGTAGAATTTTTTTTTCACAGAGCCCCACTTTACAAAAAAAATGATGGTTTTATTTAAATGCAAGATTAGTAAAGCAAAGTGTTCCTTTAGCTCTTCCGTGTAACTTTAAGAAGGGACTTTCTCAAAACCAATCCAAACTGGACCGAATCTCCTCCTGCTCGGTTCTGATAGGGAGTTAAGGGACTTGTGTTGGATTGTTTAAGCTATAACCGCTAGAGGGATACATATACGCCTTCCAACTATGTAAACACCATCCTATCTGCGTGCGTACCTGTGTGACTTCCCACTATGAATACACGCATCGCAAAGACACACACACACACACACACACACACACACACACACACACACACACACACACACACACACACACACACACACACACACACACACACACACCCTCGCGCGCGCACACTCTCAGTCAGGACCCCGGAACATTTGAAACATGACTTGTTCTTCCAAAGAGTTTTGAAAGTAGCTGCATGTAACGGGAAGAGCTCCGACTCCTCCAGCCAGGAGGAGATCCGCTTCAGGCACTAGTGAGGAGGACCGCTCCTGCAGCTCTGTGCCCCTCTCCTTTCTCTCCGGCGCCTGACCAGATTCCACAGTGCATCTCAACTTTTTTCTTTTATTTTTCCAGTTTTTTTTATTCACAGCCATGAAGGCTTGAAAAAATGGAAGTTTTGGATTAAATTTTGGATCCCAGTTCACCTCCTGTGCTGTAATAAAGATGACAGGTCGCTTTGCTGTCACTTTTCTTTGGAATTTCATGGGCTGCGTACCATTTCTTATGCTGTTTTACGAGTAGGATATAAAGGAAGCGACAGAAAGGTGTGACGAGAGGTTTGGCGGACAACTGTGGATCTCTGCGAGTAACTCCTACCGTCCAAAGGGGATCGAGGGGGGCATCGGCCGGACCCCCCCCCCCCCCCCCCTTCCCCCACCCCCTCTTGATTGATTAGTTATTAGTCATCCCTTTGGCTAAATGGGACCCACTGAAAAGGCACCGTGGAACACATACATGAATGAAATATTCCAGTGTCCCTTGAATGTCTCCAGAGTAGTTTTGCTTAAGAGAGGGGGTCGTGGCTTAGCAATATAAAGAGGGGAAAACAGCATAGCTTTATGGGTTTATTTAGACAGTTTATACGGTCTGACATTCTGCCGCTGTAAAAAATTAAGACGGAGAAACTCAAGAGGATCCCAAAGAGAAGAGCATTCTGGACATAAATGTTTTAGTTTAGTTATTTTTTTAACTTGTTTATTTTTTCCCCTTTGCCTTTCTTTCCCTCCTCACATTGTAAATATTTTTTCCCTTTCTTCTCCCGAAAAATGAAACTTTGGACATCACCCTGGGTGTCTTGCCTGGTGATTCTCATCCTGTGTTTTGGATCAGAGTGCGGGACAGTCCGTAGTAAAGGGATATCCAAGAGGGAGCTGGTGCGCATCAGGGAGGCGAGAGCCACCGTCCCAGGGGCTTGTGCCACACGCCTGCCCCGGGGCAAGCGCTCTTTACCCGGCTTGGAGCGACGGGTGCTCCGCCACCGCCGGCGCTCCTCTCAGGCGGAGGAAAACTCTCCACACCGGGGGAAAGCTGTCTATTTCACCGGCAGGGGGGATCAGCTCCGGCTCAAGCCCGGTGTGGAGATTCCCAGAGGCAATTTCACTCTGGAGATGTGGATCAAGCCGGAGGGAGGTCAACGATCGCCCACGGTGATTGCAGGTAGGATACATGTCCATACTCCCTAACATCTATACACGAATATATATTTATATTTATAGTATTAGTCAACTAACTGTAAAATAAAAGCAGAGCCGTTTGCTGATTGAATTCCCGCACTATCAACGCTCTATCAACGAGTTTCTGTGAGTTGAAAATGAGTTCATTTATCAGACTAGACAATGATGTAATGCTCTGAAAAGTACAGCGGATAATCCAGGTAGTGCAACTGGGTCACTGGAGAACTGGATCTCATTTAAATTAGTCACTTTCCATAAAAATAATCGCTGGTGATTGGTTTATTTATTTATTTTATTTTTATTATTATTATTTTTATTTTGGACAAAGTCAAATATTGTTTCCTCTTTAGAGGAATTTCATCACAAAAGCTCCCACAATGGAATAAAAGCTGCAGCATCCTCAGACCGGCAGCTGTTGTCACTGTGCGTAAAATGTAATTTCTCTTGGCCGACTCGGCTATTTTAAAGCTATGATGTAATGGTCAAACTTTGTGAGCGAGCACGTCACGTCAAGGCACAAAGCGGGACAAATGTGTCGTGTGTGGAGGCGCTCAAGGCTCGCAGCTTCAGCCGAGTGCCCCCCCCCCCCCCCCCCCCCCCCCCCCCCCCCCCCACGTCCACATCCACATCCTCCTCCACCTACCACCCCATCACCAAATCGACACCTCTGGATTGGCTACCGGAGTTACGAGACAGGACCGATATAGATCTAGGGTTTTCCTTATATGAAATATGCTTGTACAGGATGCGCGCGCCGCTGGTGCACCTCGCCCCCTCTCTCCTTTGCCATTTAATTCAAAGCCCCCAAAACGCTGACAACGTGACGGTTTCTAATTAATTAGGGCTAGAGATATGATGCAGATGTGTGCACGGATTTGGCAGGTTTTGGGGTGTATCTTGTAGTGGATGTGCGCGCTGCGCCACGCCCCCTTTTCCCGCCGTGCGTAAAGACGCACAAGAGACACTAAAACGGCATAATAATCTGTTCTGACCAACAGCGCTTTCATTTGTGCACTACAGTATTTGATCATCCGTTACCTTTTTTCACCGATAGGGAGCGTGTGTGTGTGTGTATGTGTGTGTGACACACACACACACACACACACACACACACACACACACACACACACACACACACACACACACACACATACTGCACCTCTGAAGTGAGGAGAGCTTAACTGAACTCGCCCGCCTTTTGAAAGTCAGTCTGCAGCAAACAAACCAGAACATTTACTCTCTTTACTTATTTTCTATCCGACACACTCTTTCTCTCTCCATCTGCTCTGATAAATAGCCTCTTGTGTGTGTGTGTGTGTGTGTGTGTGTGTGTGTGTGTGTGTGTGTGTGTGTGTGTGTGTGTGTGTGTGTGTTAGTAGGTGCGCGCACCACCACACAGAACATTTTTAGGAGGTATTATCCAGTTGGCAGGGGTTCACCCTGGGCGGGGGGAGGGTGTTGTGACCCGAGTGACTCTTTAGTTTTTACAGGATGGAAATGATCTGCACTTTCTGCCACAACAGGGCATTTCCGTGTTGCTCACACACACACACACACACACACACACACACACACACACACACACACACACACACACACACACACACACACACACACACACACACACACACACACACACACACACACACACACACACACACACACACAAAACCAATACACACTTCTTTTGCACAGGCTCCTCCCAAACAGATTACTAATCTTTAAAATGTAACAAATAAGATGTCCATACAGTTCCAGTAGATCCTAATGTTTTAAATTTAATTCAAGCCACACAATCCTCAGTGCCTCTAAAAATGCTGCATCCTCTTGTTTTGATCCATGCTTTAATTTTTAAAACTGAATTGCTTTTATGTTGACCCTTTCTGACTCACTGACCACGAAGCATGACAAGGCAAAAATCTGGACTTTCTTTTTCAAAGTTTTTGTATCTAATTTACCTTTGAAAGTTACACCTGCAGTACTTTGGCTGAGGGAAGTTAAGTTTATTTTACTTCATTATTTTACTCTTCTCTTCAGAACCCTTGGGCTCAGAAATGTTGATTTCCTGCTTAACAAAGGTTTTCCCAAATGTCCGCAGCGTTTTGACTTTTTAAATGCGCAGTCCCTGGAGTTCAGATTTTATCATTTCATCAAAAGCAAAGCCCAAATCATGGTACTACCACCACCATTCTTAATACATGATACCAGCATTTGTGCTTCTTTTACATGACATAACCATTGTTATTGATTTAGAAAAACTTTATTAACCTTGTCAGGTTCAAAATAAGTTTTGATAAAAGGTTGAACAACTAAGTCCTTCAGGGGTACTTCTGAGTTAAAAATGCTCATGAAATACGTCTGTGGAGTAACCAGGTAGGTAGGTTTTAACATTGCAAATCTGCAACGCCTGCCTCCAGAGGGTTCAACAATTCGGTTTGTATTCTTCAGCCTTATTTACATGCTCTTTGAAAAACCTCCAATAAACCTACAAGCTACCAGCAAACAAACAAGCAAACAAACAAAGCAGTGAAAAACATCTTTACCATCATATTTTCAACTTTTTTTATTTTGCACTTCAACTATTGTTTTGGGGCCAAAATATTCTTTCATGTGTAATTTTGCAAAAGGAATCTGTCTCCATTTTTGCTGAATCCAGATTTCATTTGGCTCAGTAGTTTGTCATTATCCAAGTCTCGTATTCTTAATGTGTTGTAAATTTTCTAAAGGATACAGATCTTATCTGTAAGCAGACCAGTTGAGGACATTTCCTCTGTGTCTATAGAGCCACACAGCTGAGTTTTGCAGCATGAGGATTGTTCTTTAATAAAATAACGGCAGACCTCCCTGGAAACCTTACAGCTTTACAAAGTCTGTTGCCTGACTATCAGTGACACAGCAGCTCCATCGGAAAAGATTACTTTAGCACCTTTAAAGATATATGTAAAACAATCATGTTCATCTTCACTCATAGCAGACCATGTCCACTGCTTCCCATTCTTAGGGAATTTAGTGAAATTCCTGCAGAGAGCTAGTGTGTAGATCCCTCCTTGTCTGATAAGAGGGTCAGGTTACATTTCTTGTTGCTTAGAATGCAGAGTGACAGGGGTTTTCCTGGACACTCCAGAGCCAACACCACTATATCGATCAGGGTGGTATGACAGTTTTTCATGCAGTGACACTGGTGTCCTCAAAGGTCATCCTTATTCAAAACCCATTTGTGGTTCTGGTTATTGTATTGCAGAATTTTCCAAGATTTATTTGAATGTTCTACTTTACAAAATAGAAGAGGATAAATGCTTTTTTATTTTCCCTGAGTAGGGACAGTTTGGTGTAACAGCAGCAGAGCAGATTCACTGTATCAAGTAAAATTCACAACAAGAACAAAGAAGAATAAAGAATAAAAGGTTGTACAGTGAAAAACATATGCAAATAATTTCTTAAAAGACTGAAATGAATGTACTAATGTGTGAATTCCCGTAGCATATTATTCACTGGGAGTGGGAACATGAATGGACAAAATGTGCTAATGAGATATGAATTACTGATCAAGTTTTGTACACAACAACGAATTGGAGACATAAAAACTACTTAAGGGAATTGAAGTTGGAGCAATACCTTCTCAGTGGCCTAGGTATCAGTTTTAAAATCTCAGTTGGGTCGTATCAAAGACTTTAAAAATGGGACCCAATACTTCCTTTCTTGACACTCCGCTTTAAAGGGGTTGGATTGGGGGGTTGAACCACCAAATAGCTCCCGAGCACAGCCACATCTGCAGCTCACCACGCCCCAAAGGATGGATCTAATGCGGAGATGTAATTTCACCAATGTTTGATGACTGATGGGACTTTAACTTTTAATAAGGAATTGATGTGTCCCCTAATGGTTGTCTGCAGTGTGATTTTTTAAGATAACACCTTCTTTGCATTTACATAAAATTTTACATTTAAAGGTGTGGTTCACTGAAAACCAAATTTTTAAATTATTATTTCAGATTTTAACCGGTCACTCTGAGTTTTTCATGCAGGGTGAACATGAAAATAGTCTCCTGCACCGATCTCCTGCATTAGCTTCTGATAGAAAATAGACGGTGAAACTCTGGGATTTGAAAAGCCTGACAGATCTACATCACACTGTCACTTAACATTCATGGACTCACCCATCTTGACTTGCAATGGGTAAGGCTGTTGTTGGTTTAGCGTCCGGCAATCAGCAGAGGAATTCTCGGCTAGTTTAAGCTAACCGTTAGCATTAGCAACACAGCAGAAGCTCCTCCAGGCTTGTGTTATTTGTGGAGATAAAACATCTGCATTGCACATCAGTGGTAGAATTGTGTTGCTGTCATCCAGTTGGAGGCAAGATGTCCAAATATCAGGAAATAAGACTCTTAAACCTGCCGTCTGAAGCTCAGCTGTGATGTGGGTAACTTTTAGGAATAAGAAATGGTGCACCGGTATACCCCCCCCCCCCCCCCCCCCCCCCCAGAACAACTTACAAGGCATTCATTCCTACTAGAGATCAGTGCAAATGTATTGATCAAACAAGTGATCCCAAATGTTGAAGCCCTTCCACACCTGTTGCCTCATTGCTGAGAATGGGTGGAATAAAAACTTAAATGTAACTCACCTGATGATGACAAACTTGCCTTTTTAAAATACATTTTAAACACAACTGATTTCTAGTTCAAGAGCATGTGAACCAAAATGAAGAGTGAACATAAACACTTTTACTCACGCACACACACAAAAACAATCACATGATAAGTGTGATAAGTTCTGTTTCCAAACGTGGGGTCATGCGGGGTCATCCCGCATGAAACAAAGGGAAAAATAAATCACAAAAGAAATACAGGCAGTGTTCCGTGACTCGCTGGACACAGTTACACGCAGATGTTGGCAGATAGTTGTTGCGATAGTAGATAATTCTAGGTGTTTTCAGCAGGTGTGACGTTACAAACAAAAACACACTCTGACAAGGCCGTAACTGGTTTTTCCCACCACTTAAAAAAAAATTGTTGTGTCTTTTTTTTTTAAAGGAAATTGCCACACTTAGACCAAGAGACTGAAGTTCAAGGTCATGAATTATAAATGTTGAAGAGGGTATGTAGATTTATATTTAGTAGAACACAGGAAGAACTTTACATTGTGTTCCTGTTTTAGACACTCATGGTTGGAGGAAGGTTGCTGAATTCCTCAAACACTGATTAATGTTCTTTGATCTCATATTTAGGGTTTCAGCAGTGACAGTCTTCTTTTTAACCCACTGGTATTTGAAAATTAGTCAAATTGCGGAGTTAGCAGTTCAAATGAATTATGAATGAACTTTTACAGCAACTCATGGAGGGATAATTTTAGTGAATTTTTCACAGTTAATATTTTATTTATTTTTATTAAGTTCATGCTCAAAATATCGCTGGGATTTTCCATTCTGCAAAGAAAAAATTGCTTTTGGTCACTTCAGTCTGGCTATTAAAAGTGCCTTTCTTGACCTGTTAGAGTCAAAACATTTGAGAAGTAAATGGAGTTTTCATTGTCCTTTTCCTTTCTGCTTTATGTCAAGTACTTGTGACATTTTTCTTTGTATGTGTGTATGTGAGTGTGCACGTGTTTGCTCTTTTTTTTCTTGGGTGTGTTTTTATAAAAGAAGAAAAATGACAAGGTTACTCTTCAACCTGACGGGAACTGTGCTTGTGCACCTTTAAATCCATCTGCATGTGTCTCTGGGTGAGCAAAAGTGTGTTCTTCAATCTATCTACACATGTGGCAGTGTTTATTTGTTCGTGAGGCTAGATATTTATGCTTGTCTGCATCAGTATGCACATATATGTGTGTGTAGGTGTGTTTGTGCGAGCCCCAGCGGTCTCAACATTGGGTCTGGAAAAGTGTAGCATGTTAGATTAATTGAGCATGGCAGAATTATGACAGCTGTTTACACTAGAAGCCCTATGAGCATTTTAGCACATCTCTTAGCTCTGAGTGCGCTAGGTGACATATGGAGGGCTTTTTCCTTCCAGTGGATCGGAAAGACTGAAAACATCAGCCACCTGAAGACTGACCTTGACGGTGAACCCAGTCCTCACTCGTTGTACATTAGTGTATTAAAACACCCGGCTAATGAATGCAACATGCATCTAATTAGAAACAGGTCAAAGTTAGCAAGACGCCTTTGCACCATTAGCCAGCCACTTACTGCAGGCTGAGGGAAGCCTAATTGATGGGGAACAAAGGCATCCGAGTGGATACGCGCTGGAGACAAAGCTGCGATCATCTCTATGATAATCAGCTTCACATTATTATGAAGGCACCACAGACAAGTGTGAAGGGTAATTGCCGAAATCTGAAGCAATGATCCCAACAGCAACTGTTAAGGGCCCTTCATACCCATTGGAACTGGGCGTGTAGGTCATAGATTGAGTGTCACCGAGTGAATAGGTATAATTGCCTGAAAGCTCATGAAGTGCTTCAAGAGCAGAGTCCAGCTCCATCACCTGTGAACACACAATTTCCTCATGCTGAAATGAACCTTTTAAGGCATTTCAACATGCACTGAACAAACAAACAGTTAGCATTCAGAGATCCCCTAAGAAGTGAAAACACATTACCATCCCGAAGCTGACACACAGAGTCCAAGGGAAACAGGAAAAAAAGGGTTTGGGTGCCTCTGCGAAAACATGGCTTTAGCAGGAAACTAGCTGTTTCTGGCAACACGGCTGTACTCAGTGTTCGCATAAATATATACAGGTGAGATTTCCATGGGGTCTCCCTTAGAGAAACATACGTTAATTTCCAGGGCAGCATATCCTTAGATGTTAAAAGAATCTTAACCAGACTTTTCATTTTCCACCATAAATACTTTTGTAATAGTCAATAGTAAAGATATGCATGCTTTTAACTGTTGTACTGTACATGAAGCCTTGAAATATAAGCACATACTAATATACCACTTGTTTGTTTTCTCCTCAGGCCTGTACGACAAATGCTTCTATGCCTCCAGTGACCGAGGTTGGCTGCTTGGCATCCAGGCGGTTAGTGAATATGGGAACAGTGACCCTCGATTCTTCTTCTCCCTTAAAACCGATCGTGCTCACAAAGCAACCTCCATCCACTCCAATTTTCGTTATGTGCCCAACCAATGGGTGCATGTGGCAGTCACATATGACGGTGTGTACATGAAACTCTTCATCAATGGGGCCCAAATTGGAGTTAGTCGGGAGCAGTCAGGCGATATCTTCAGTCATTTAACCAAAAAGTGCAAAGTTCTGATGATTGGTGGGAATGCATTGAATCACAATTATAGAGGGGCAGTGGAAAGATTGGGCTTATGGAGGCAAGCCCGAAGCCAGAGGGTTATCATCAGGGATATGCAGGGCCACGAGGACCTCGATGATCTACCTCATTTAGTCATTCGTGAAACGTTTGAGCATCTGGGCCGCAAGTGGTTGACTGTGAAAGATGGCAGTTTTCCTCAGCCTGAGAAAGAAGGAGTGGGACGATATGGGTTTTCAGGCAGTGGAGGAGTTGAAAATCCAGAGGGATCATTAGACACAACCTTGGACATTCCAGCTTGTGGCCAAACGGTATGCGACAATGTGAACGTCATTAAGAACTACAATCAGCAGTGGACTTTCCGCCGGCCAAAGAAAGTGCGATACCGCGTCGTCAACATCTGGGACGATGCAAAGAAGAGGCCAATTGTATCAGATCACCAGATCATTCTGCAGCATCAGCAACTTAATGAGGCCTTCAGTCAAAGTAACATATCCTGGGAGCTTACCATTGAAAACGTGACCAGTTCCTCTTTACGTGACCGCCTGATTCTCGCTAACTGTGATATCAGCAAGATTGGTAATTTAAAGTGTGATCCAGAATGCAACCATCCGCTGACAGGGTACGATGCCGGTGACTGCGTATTTAGGTATCGGAGCCGCTGCCCTGGACACAAGCAAGGGAACGGTATATGTGAACCTGAATGTAACTGGGAAATCTTCAATTATGATCGAGGTGATTGCTGCAATCCCAACGTGACAGACGTGACAAAGACTTGCTTCAGCCGCACCTCTCCATACAAGTAAGATCCTTCTTTTCCATATTTTTCATCTTAAATGTTTTTCTTTTTCAATTTGATAACCATATAACTTCAGTCCAGAAAAGGCTTTGACTAATCATAACATGCTGTGCTTCGTTTGATGAATATTTTTGTTGACGTTACACTGACTACACGCTGTAGCCTCACACAACTTGTCTTCATTATTCTTTCCATACACAAGCCCCTGCCGAAAGTTTTCTTTTCTTGTTTAATGTCTGTCCTTACTGTTTCCTGATCATTTGGACTGAAGCTGTGTGTAACCCAACTTCCAGCCTGTGTGGCCTGGGAAGTCCTCTGGGGCAACTTGTCCAATCTAGCCTTGGCCTGGTTCTATCAGTGTTCCACACTTAAACAAGGCAAAACAAGTTTAACGGTAGCGAGACCACTTTTTTCTCTGTTTGATTTTCAAAAGTCAGTCGTTTTCATCATCTTTGTGTGTTTTGTACCCAGTGGTCCTAATTAAACTGGCTTGATTGTAGAAGAGAGCTGGTTTAGTGGCTATGACAAGTTAAACAGCGTGTGGGAGCAATGAGAGGTTGAAGAACCAAACTCTATTAAATAATGATTCACTTTAATATTTTCCTAGATGTCAGGGTTTCACATAAAAAAGGAAAGAGAATGTGATCATTTATGGCCAGTCCAGCACAACACAAACGCTGTTACAAATGGATGCAACTTTTTGTCTTTTTGTGATATCTAATGTGGATTTTAGAAGGAAAATGAATCCTTTTATATGATAAAAAATACTTTTTTTTGCTTTTTGATGGCAGAATTGTTCTTTTTTTTCTTGGAGGATTAAAACTCAGCATAAAAAAAGTTGAGACTTTTTTGTGGAGAGTGCAGGGGATCTTTGTGAGAAGAAAAGGCAAAAGTTATTACTGTTAGTTGGCATTGTTTACTGCTGTTAGATGAGGAATCAAAGATAAAAGATTGTTTTCCGACAACAGTTGAGATAGAAGCACCTTTTGTTTTGACACCATCCTCTGCTTGGCAATGATATTCAATTAACGACATAAGAAATGAAACCATTTGGGTCCATCCTCTCTTCTAATTCAGTCTTTAGCCAACGCTCAGTCATCAAGTGGTGGTTACCTCCTTTGTTTAGGCATTAGCCATTGACAAAATGCTTGCTATGGAGTATCACCAGTGAGAGAAAAATAGAAGCGGGGGGAAAAGCATGACAGGAGGCTTCCTATGCCTAAAAACAAATATTATCTTCCCAAGTGATGGCTAATTTTTGTATTTTGTATGTCTGGAGAGACTCGCACAGGACTGCATTACAAACAGTTTGACATTCCTCCTTCATTATGAAATTTTGGGCAAACATGTGCTGCGTTTGCAAACTAAAAATAGTTTTGAGGTCCAATGTTGATTTAAAATTTATTTGTATGATTGTCAAAACTTATTGTGTTTTTATGTCATGATGGGGACCAAAATGTTACATCAACGGATAGAGAATTTTTGTAAATGGTTAAAAGTTAGATTAGAAGTCAAAATGTGGTTTAGGTTTTAGAAACGGTTAAAAATAGGTTCAGGGTAGAAGTTAGCAATTCAGTCGTGATGACGGAAGTAGGGTAAGTGTGCTGTGTCAGTGGAGTGTCCTCCATAGTATACAGAAGTACACACACACACACACACACACACACACACACACACACACACACACACACACACACACACACACACACACACACACACACACACACACACACACACACACACAAGACAAGGAAAACTGCTGATCTTATACAGGTTTGGAAACCTTCAATCTTAAAGAAAAACACAATTTTTTAATCCCATATTTGTAATTTATCTCTCAGCTACACCCAGGACACTGCAGACACTAGAAAAAAACACTTTTTTATGTCCTTTCATTTCCATTAGGCAAAGAGAGCTGGTACATAAATGCAAATGGGCAATACAAGAAGAAGACACCTCTTTATGAAGGAAGTCTGTTTTGAAGCCATTAATATAAAGCCTGGAAACAGGCATTCTTATTGTTTCCAACTATCCTGGCAAGCAACACATTCTCACTCCCAGCGCGTCAAAAACAAACGCTTGGTCAGCCACCCTCCGCCTCAGACCCCTGACGCCAAAAGTGCCCTTTTTCGTTACTTATGTGCGAAAAGGGGTTTTTCCCTTTTCTGACTGCAGATCCCAATGCAGCGTTACACTGACGCGATGGGATGTCCGCAGCCAGGGCACCAAACAAGCTCATTGTACCTCACCTTAACCGTATCCTCTTGTTATTTAACCTGCCCTTCACCCCTATCCTAAGCTTAACCATCTTGCTAGCTAACATGTTAGTGATGTGTCGGTCGCTCTAAAAGCCGGCTCTATGAAGTGAACGGCGGGAGCCGCCTCGTTATCGGTCAGGTTTGGACCGAGGCAACGCAAGGGGGAGGTTTCAACTACCACGGTGGAGGTTAAAAGTAGAGGGAATTTGTAACCTCCCCCTCGCTAGATGGTATGTTCTAATGTTCCCCTTGGGCGGCAAATACGAAAATTCACAGTCAGAATGCATGGGAAACAAACGCTTAATCACAGTGAGAGTAACGTTTTAGGTAGCAAGAGGGTTAAGGTTAGGATGAGGGAGAGGGGAAGGTTATAAATAGTGAAACATTAAGGTTTAGGTGTAGTTAAATGAGTTGGTTCTGTGCCGCATCAGCGGATTTTCCTTCAAGTCAGTTTTACGCTGCATTGGGATCTGCAGTTACAAAAGGGAAAAACCCCTTTTCGCACATAAGTAACGAAAAAGGGCACTTTTGGCATCAGGGGTCTGATGTGGAGAGTGGCTGACCAAGCGTTTGTTTTTGACGCGCTGGGAGTGAGAATGTGTTGTGGCAAGACATCCTATATGTGTGAATACATAGTCTGGCCACGACCATAGAGAGTTCAGCCATGTGGGAGAATCTACGGTCATCTTTCAAACTGTCTGTGCGCTATTGGACAAATAAACAATGTGACATACTCATCGCTATGGATGTCAGTCAACGGGGCATTCCGCCTTAGACTGTTATACAAATATACTCTTTTACTAAATAAAGGGCTTAAGTACGTCTATCTGCTCTTAATATAGTCCAAAGTTTATGCCAGAGCTGTTTCAAACAAGATGTCGACATCTTTGCTGTTTCGCTTAGTCGTATCATCCCTGCCCATCAAACTGACAGAGCGCTGTGATTGGCATGCCACCAGACTGTTCGGGATTGCTGAGGCTCCAATGGGGTAGGGCTGAATGACCTGCAAAGCAAAATCCTTTTACTTCTGCTATGGTTTGTCTAGATTTCTACGCTAGTTTCCGACAAAAAAAGAAACAGGAAGGTAATCATCCAGATCTTGAAAACAGCCAATTACGTGGTGAGAACTAATTGGTCATGTGACATATTTTCCTCAGTGTCTCTGCTTAGCCAGTACCTCTGATTGTGGCAGGGTCATGAATGGAGCAACTTATGTCTTTGATTCGCTCCTTCTCCCTGCTCTATTCCAGTTAAGTGCACAAAGCTTTTTAGGGCCCACAACTTTTGATTTTTTATTTATTTTTTTTTACAGTTGGTCATCTAAACCTTAACCCCTGTCTCATAAAACATAATGGAGTGCTTGGGTGTAAATACCAGGACCTTCCATTTCTTTTTAAAGCTTCGTAAAACACCTGCTGTTAAAGTTTCACCTGCATACTCACGTGGGTTGGTAAAAGTGTGAGGAGTTCTGCTAAATGACAGGACTAACAGGAATCTGGTAAGGGGAGTGCTTTACTTAGGCTAATGTTGGAATGCAGGGGAGTTGCTTTTGAACGTGACAGGATAATATGTAGCCAGATCCTGTTGGTGGTCCTTTAAAATATTACCCACCAGGGGATTCGGCTGATAATGCAATGGTAAAACAACTGTAGGTTAAAAGTCACCAAGGGTGGTGACGAAGAGGTTCTCACATTGCTGCCAAAACAGGGAAACTAAGTCTATTAAAAGCATCTGCCTCACTTAAAAAGTGATGACGACATGTGGAGCATGACATTGTTACCTCTGTATGTCTCTAAATTGTGCTTTTCAAACTCTCAATAACAGTTGTGTAGTTATCGTCCTTAGATGTGAACGAGATCTCCGAGGACTAGGCTGGAAGGTTAAAGAGGAGAGTGCAAGCATGGTAATAAACCCAGAGATGAATGATGGGTTTAGGGGCTATGGTGTTGACTGACTTGATGACAGAGGAGCTGAGGGCCCCCTTCAATTTCAGAAGAGTTCTTGGCTGTGAGACTGTCACTGCAATGCCAGCTCTTCTTAGCTTCCTACATATTTGTATACCAGGCAGATTTATGGGCTAATATGAATGATGTGGATGTGAATAGATAAATATGTAATTCTCCATTTAATATGTTTCAGACTTAATGGTGTCACAACAGATGCCCTGCAGTGCAGCTTAAGTGTAACAGTGCTGACCTTATCCTTTCTCTTATGCATAGTCAGTTTTTTGTCCACCTCCTCTGCCTTTCTTCCATTTAAATGAGGCTTATGACTAGAGGTGGGAATTGATGAGGTTTTGTCAGTATCAATGCCATTATCGATTCGGTTTATCAATCCAACTCCCTTATCAATTCCAAGTAGTTCAATAGGTGACTAAAATGAATTTCACATGGTCTCCTGCATTATAACTGCCCCTTCATTAATGATAAATAATCAATTGTACCTGGTATGGTTTGGAAAGATCTTTCCAAATGTTTTCTTTTATGCTCCTTGTGAAGGTAGCTTTTGCAAAATAGGCAAACTCTCACCACAGGTTGGAATTTAGTCGCTGGAGTGTGCTAGTGTGGAGGTGTGTATATAAGGCAAATGACGCTAACATTATAGGCAATGTTAGCTGATTAGTTAACTGCAGTGTTAACAGGAGAAGGCGTGCAAAGGTCACCGCTGCTGCTGCGTTGAAATTCACTAGTCCGGAGCGGCTCAAATACACGACATTCACTTTAAGCTTGTCCTGTTGTCATCCTA